CTCGCGCCCTGTCCCTGCGCACTTTGAGCAGGACCTTGTGCACAAGGGGGAACGGGGGAAAGGCGTAAAATAGTCGACTCATTCACAGGAGCAGGAAGGCATCTGTGAGAGAGCCCGGGGAGTGGCCTTGGAGGGAGCAGAAAGCCGGGCATTTCCGATTGCTGAGGGAGGCAAACAGGCCGATCTGGGGAAATCCCCACCTTCGGAAGATGGGGTGGATGACATCTGGTCGAAGCGACCACTCATGGGAGTGGAAGGACCGCCACACAATGACCCTGCAGCCACTCCTGGAAGGCTTGACAGGCAAGGCGCACCGCCATCAGCTCCCAGACATTGATATGAAGGGAGAGCACGGACGGGGGCCATAGGCCCTGTGTCTGAGTGTCCCTGCGGTGGGCACCTCCACCATCCCAGGGCTGACGCATCCGTGACCAGGGACAAGGAGGGCTGTGGCCTGCGAAAAGGGACTCTTTCACATACCATCCAGGGATTTACCACCAGCGGAGGGAGGCCAGGACCTGCTCCGGGACAGTGACCATCGAGTTCAGGCTGTCTCAACCTGGGCGATACACTGATGCTAGCCAGGCTTGTAACGGGCGGAGTCGAAGTCTGGCATGCCTGGTCATGTCTGTGCAGAAAGCCATGTGGCTGAGAAGACACGTTGCCGACAAGGTTGGGAAGCTCTGAAGGCTCCGGACAAGGCCCACTATAGCCTGGAAATGAGTGTCCGGGAGGAGGGCTCGTGCCAGCACGGAGTCCAGAACTGCCCCAATGAATTCTATTCTCTGGGTCGGTTCTAGTGTCAACTTTGCCACGTTGAGAAGGAGGCCTAACCGACCAAACGTGTCCGTGACGAAGCAGAGGTGGGACTGCACCTGTTGCGTCCCCGGATAAGCCAGTCGTCGAGGTAAGGGTATACCTGCTCCCGCCGTCGACAAAGGAAGGCCGCCACGACCGCCATACATTTGGTGAACACTCGGGGGATTGTGGAGAAACCGAAGAGAAGGGCCGTGAACTGATAGTTTTCGTGGTTGACCACAAAGCGGAGGAAGCATCTGTGTGCCAGATGAATCGCTATGTGGAAATACGTGTTCTTCATGTTGAGGGTTGCGTACCAGTCTCCAGGATCCAGGGAAGGTATAATGGTGCCCAAGAAGACCACGCGGAACTTCAACTTTACCATGAACTTGTTGAGTCCACGCAGGTCCAGAATGGGCCAAAGCCCACCCTTTGCCTTGGGGATTAGGAAGTATTGAGAGTAAAACCTACTGCCCCTTAGCTCCCTCAGAACCTCCTCGATCACCCCCATGGCGAGGAGCATCTGAACCTCCTGAATAAGGAGTTGCTCGTGAGAAGGGTCCCTGAAGAGGGACAGGGAGGAAGAAAATTGGAGAAAGTATCCCACTTCCGCCGTGCAGAGGACTCAGCAGTCTGTGATTATGTGAGACCAAGCACGGTGGAAATGGGATAAACAATTCAAGAAAGGTGGGGTAGGATCCTGAACAAAGTCCGGTACACCGTCCTCGGGCATCCTTTCAAAAGGCCTGTTTTGAGCCCGACAAAGACTTGGACGGACCCTGGCCTTGCTCAGACTGGGGGTCGGAGGGCTTCCTCCTGCCATTACGCCCCCGCCTCTTATAGAAATCCTGACTCAGCCGAGGAGGAGGATAGGAGCGTTGTTGCGGCTGCTGGGGTTTGACGGATTTCCGCTGGGTAGCCGGTGTGTGCATGCCCAGGGACTTCATTATTGCCCTTGAGTCCTTAAGGCTTTGTAGCCTTGAATCGGTCTTTTCCGAAAACATGCCCTCTCCATCAAAGGGGAGGTCCTGCAGTGTTTGCTGAAGTTCCGGTAGCAAGTCGGAGGCTTGCAGCCAGGAGATACACCTCATCGCGATCCCTGAGGACAAAGTACGTGCGGCGGAGTCCGCAGCATACAGCGAGGCCTGCAAGGAGGTCCGTGCCACTGTTTTGCCCTCTTCCGCCAAAGCCCCAAACTCTTCTCCGGACTCTGGAGGTACTAACTCCTTAAACTTCAGCATGGAGTTCCAGGAGTTAAAATTGTAACGACTCAGGAGCGCCTGCTGATTAGCGATCTTGAGCTGAAGTCCCCCTGAGGAATAAACTTTGCGCCCAAACAAATCAAGGTGCTTGGCATCCTTTGATTTGGGCGCTGGGGCCTGCTGGCCATGCCGTTCTTTTTTGTTCGTTCACAGAGAACAGGGCTGTGGGTGGTTGAACAGATAATCATACCCCTTCGAGGGGACAAAGTATTTTCTGTTCCACTCCGTTAGCAGTTGGGGGGATGGACGCAGGTGCCTGCCAGATTGTCCTGGTGGTGGTTTGGATGGTCCGAATAAGGGGTAGGGCCACCCTTGATGGAGCTTCCGCAGACAGAATATCCACCACAGGGTCCTCCACCTCTATCACCTCCTCCACCTGCAGGTTCATATTCCATGCCACCCTGTGCAGGAGGTCCTGGTGGGCACGGAGGTCTATTGGAGGGGGAACCAAGACTGTAGTGCCTGCCACCGCCTTGTCGCCTTGCGGAGCCGGGGCCGGCTATCCTGTGCCAGCGACCTCAGGGCCCGGACTAGGAATCGGTGTTGGAGAAGATCCTGTAGCAGGGAGAGAAACCGCCACAGTCTCCATGCCCACCAGGGTGGGCTGACTGATGGTAGCCTCTGGCACTTGTGGCTCAGACGGGGCTGATCGAGAAGCCCCAGATGGAGCACCCTGGGCCTGGTGGTATGCCCAGGGCATCCAGAACGGCCAGAATGGACCTTCCAACGGGACCCTGCTCCTGCGCCTGCCAAGGCCCAGCCCCTGACTCTAGACGGCTATGATCCAAATGGCGACGGTTTGAGAAATGTGACCGAAGAACAAGAAGCAGAACGTGAGGGCCACAGTGGAGCTGAGCAGATCTGCGCTGGGTCATGTCGACGAGGTGATGGGGAATGGTGCCGCGATGCTGGGGAGCGGCGCCGGGACCTGGAACGGCACCTGGATCTGGGCCCAGATGATCACCAGCGTCAAGAGCGGCGTCAGGTCCGGGATCTGCTCCTCAACGACGACCGGTGGGCAGAGCAGTACCGGGACTGGCGACGGGAGTCGGAGCGGTGCCGCAAGTACAACCGGCGCCGGGACTGCGAGTGGTGGAGGGAGCAGGAACGATGATGAGAACGGGATCGCTGCCGCAGCTTGACTGATGGTGCCGATGGGTGGATTAGGGCCAGCTTGCCCTGGGACAGTGCTGCACGTACAGGCCTTGGCATGTAGCTGAGGGGATGTCAATGCCATCATGGCAATAAGATCCCTTGCAGCTGCAAAAGTATCCGGGGTAGACAGCAACTGGACCTCAACCACGCTGCGTGTCGGGGAGTCCAGGGGTACCAGACTCAACGGCTCTCCCCTCGGGGCCGGAGTCAACGGTGCTGAAGCCATGGGCTGTGCCCCTAGATGCCTCCCCTGTGGGATGCATCTCCATGGGCAGTTCCAGGGAGGCTGGTCTCTGTGGAGGTGGGCCATCCTTTTCCGGTGTCGCTTCTGGCCAGGAGAATGGGAGCAGTGCTGGGACGATGATGTCGGTTGCGGTGCCGGGGAGCAGTGCCAGATCTTGGCGCGCCGCAGGAGACTGAGGGCTAAGAGCTGCCTCCACGAGGAGCAGCTTTAAACAAAAGTCCCACTCCTTCTTAGTCTGGGTCGAAACCCTTTGCAGATCCTGCACTTCTCTGCTTGATGAGACTCCCCCAGACACTTCAGGCAAGAGTCATGGGGGTCGCCCGTTGGCATAGCCTTAGAGCAGGAACTGCAGGGCTTGAACCCCGGAGCCTTGGCATGAGCCCAAGAGAAGAATTGGGGAGGAGGGGAAAGACCCCCCAACCCCACTAACACTAAGTAAACCAACTATAACTATCAAACAACTATAACTATCAACAATTAACTATTAGGCATATGCTAGGGAGAGTGGAGAACAGCAAAGCAGGACTCCACAGTTCCAATGACCGTCACGGGTGGTAAGAAGGAACTGAGGGGGCGCAGGTCGGCTGTGGTATATATCGAGCACCATGAAGGCGCCACTCCAGGGGGCTCCACAGCTGACCCACCAGGTGTTGCTAGGGTAAAAATTCTCCGACACCTAACTGGAATCCATATGAGCAAGCACTCAAAGAAGAACAGAAACACTTCACCACTGTCAGCGACAGCAGCATATTTAAAGGCATGTGCCTTTTTCTCCTTAGTGCTTGGGGCAGACTGACCCAAGGATGCCCAGAATATTGAAAGCCTGATCAGTAAGTGCCAGTATTCTTCCTAGCTGGGTATAATTTTTCATTTTCTTTAGACTTGAAACCGTTCTTCTTTATTCCCCCTTTTCATGGATGTTCCATTTTATAATTCTACAGAGATGGCAAGAAGACCAAGCTATTTCACAAAACTAGCTCTCTCTATTGCAAATTCAGAAACTGGCCATTTTGAAAATGCACTTTTTAAAGCTGTGAGATAATTACCTCTTTTTTAGCAATCCCTTTTCATCAAACACTGACATTTTCCAGACACTGAATGTTTAAAAGAAATACAAATCCTTTTCTCTTTAACTGGAAAGAGGCAAAAAAACCCACCAAACCACCCTACACAAATCAGGGCTTCCCAAAACTTGTGTTTGGCATCAATTTGCCAAGTAACAGACAGGGATATTTATTTTTTGGTGCCTGAAAATTTAACATTCAGGCCCTGGACATTATTTAAGAAAGGACATACTGGGTCAGACCAAAGGTCCATCTAGCTCAGTGTCCTGTCTTCCAACAGTGGCCAATGCCAGGTGCCCCAGAGGGAATGAACAGAACAGGTAATCATCAAGTGATCCATCCCCTGCTGCCCACTCCCAGACTCCGGCAAACAGAGGCTAGGGACACCATCCCTGCCCACCTTGGTTAGTAGCCACTGATGGACTTATCCTCCATAAATGTATTTAGAGTTAGTATATGTTATAGCTACCAACTTACAGAAGCCGTGTTCTTCACCACATGTCCTACAATCACAACAACTCTTCCTTTGAAGCTCTGGAGCGTGGCAGTAGCAGGGCACTGGACGAGCTCTCTTTCCGTGGTGAATGCTGAGCCAAATGGAATGTTGATGCTGCCTGAAATGTGGCCACGATTAAAGCTGACGGGCAACACAGTTAAGGGAAACATGAAAAAAGAAACTGGATACACCCATACCTGCTGAACAGCACGTAGCTCAGTGGGGCTGGGGTCTCTAAGTGCTACCACAATACAAACAAACAAACAAACAACCAAGAGTGAACCCAGATCTCAGATTTGTATTTACGCACCACTCCCATTGAAGTCAATGTGACTTTAAATTTTAGCACAGAATTTGGATGATATAGTTTTAACTCATACCTGTAAAAGATGAACTTTTTTTGGTATTTTTTTCTCTTCATTTCTAATACCAATCATATATGTAAATGAAACAAACTGTCTAATGTATAAGCACCTCCCGCCTCCTCCCCCCTGGCTGATGTGACACAGGCTAATTTGTTCTTACTGGATTAGTATATATCAAGAACCTCATTTATTGTTTACCCATATTGAAAACAACAGCTGCCACATCACAGGAAAACTAATAGCATGAAGATTTATTTGCTGTTTAAAAAGTGACGGATGGAATCATTTCGAATTCTGCAGTGGTCAATGAGTACTTAGTTTCACAGGAGGAAGCAGAGATTTATGCTCAGGGACACATCATTCTGTCTGTTTTATCAGCATGGAGCCTTGTAAAGGTTTAACTTACCCTTAAACAGCCATGAAACGCTTCCAAAATAACTACTTTGCCCTCACTACACCCTTTAGATATCAAGTACTATGAACTCAAAGCTTCTACCACAAATTAAAGTGTCAGCAATTGCTCCTTGTGAAGTTCATGTGTGTGAGTGTCAGTTTTGATACGGTGCTGGAAATCGCTTTTTCATAAAACCAACTCAGGAGTCCCATTTTGTTTTTTACTAATTCCTTTTAAAACAGGTTTTATCCATAGCATGCAATTATATCAATGCAGTGATATGTTTCTCTCTCAGAGAAACTGAAGTGCACAGAAATAGAACCCCAAACCAATCTCAAATGGATTGTTGAGCATCTCTCAAAAATCTACACATTTCTGCATTGTTTTACGTTAGTCCTACCATTCTGAAATTGCCCTAATTTAAACGCTAAGATATGAAGTATGAACAAAATCTCAGCTAACTAAAAATGGAAGAACATTTCCCAAACTGAAATTGAACTCCAAACTGAAGTTTGAAAGAGTTTAATTTATTATTTGCTTATTCTTAAAATTTTCACAAGCATCTGCATCTCTTAGTTTCAACAGAAACTTAAGCACTGCAAGAAGTTCCAGTGAAATGTAGGACTATTCTGGGGTTAATACACTGAACTGGGAATCAGATGATTGGGGTTCTATTCTTGGCTCCACTACTGACTCAATGAGAAGCATTTACTCTGTTTACTTCAGTTTCCACATCTTTAAAATTGGGATATTACTTGCCTACTTCACAGAGGTTTTGAGAGTGTAATTTAATATTTTAAAGTTCTTATAGGTTATTAGACAAAAGGTGCTAGACAATTTCTTATTTACAGCCTTATTAAAATCAAGAAATTCTGTGTATCGTATGGGACACCTATGAAAGGGTTAATATGTAAAAGCCAACAACTCCTAGAAGTTGTTAGGTAAAGTCTGGATGCATAAAAGGAGCTAAGGCCCTAAGTCCCAGTTCTGGCACCACTATGATGCACAAAACTTCTGCTGAAGCTCGCAGGTGCTTACACTCAGTTGGCACCTAAGTTTTTGTAGTACAAGTTCCCTAGCCACGTATGTTCCTGTCTCTGCAGGATATGTGAACTGCTTCCTCTCTGGGTCTCCAGACACCTATCATCCACCTAAGCCCCAGAGTGATTCACAAACCACGGGAAGACAGGTGTTCAGCCATCTAAGTTGCCTGATATGGTAGGTACACCTCTACCCCAATATAACACGACCCGATAGAACACAAATTCGGATATAACGTGGTAAAGCAGCACTCTGGGGGGCGGGGTGGGGCTGTGCGCTCTGGCGGGTCAGCGTGTCTGGCTCCAACACGCTGCTCTGAGCGGCGTGTTAAGGGTGCCGGGCCAAGGGTTTGGATAAGGGGCAGAGGGCCTCAGGGGGCAGTCAGGGGACAGGGAGCAGGGTGGGGGTGAATGGTTCGGATATTCTGGGGGCAGGGCAGTCAGGGGATGGGGGTATTGGATAGGGTGTTGGAGTTGTAATTAAAGAAAGGAGATACAATTTAACCATTGTAGAACAGATTTAAAGGGGAGCTCCGGGCCCTTTAAATCCCCGCCCGAGCCTGGCTGCCAGAGCGCTGGGGCTCCGGCAGCCGGGCTCAGGCAGGAATTTAAAGGGCCAGAGGCTCTGGCCACTGTGGGGAGCCTCAGGCCCTTTAAAGCACTGCCCGAGCCCCACTGCCAGAGCTCCGGCAGTGATTTAAAAGGCCCGGGGCTCCCCACAGCGGCTGGAGCCCTGGGCCCTTTAAATCACCGCTGGGGAAGTCAGTCCAGTCCAGCACGGCGTACCGGCTTACTTTCACCTCTGGATAGAACACGTTTTCACCTATAATGCGGTAAGATTTTTTGGCTCCCGAGGACCGCGTTATATCGGGATAGAGGTGTACAATCTGAGCATGCCTGCCAGATCAGTCCTCTCAGGTGAGTTCGTGAAAAACAGCTGGGGAGAAAAAGAAGAACCTCCCACATAAAACGTTTAGTCCAGTGATTAGGCTACTCATCTGGGATGTGGGAGAAACCTGGTTCAAGTCCACACTTCATCTGAGGAGGAGAAGGGATTTCAATTAGGATCTTCTACCTCTCAGGTAAATGAATGCCTTAACTATTGGGCTATGGGATGTTCTAGTGCTAACATACAGTGAGTGGGCAACATTATGCAATACCATATATCAAGCCGCTCTCGTCACCTTGATGAGCAAAATGTCATCGAGATCGGTTTGATGAGAATGATGCAATAATTCAACAGCTACTCACTAAAAAACATGTGATGGATAATCACATTTTTGTATCCCTGTAGGCACAGTTTTAACATATAGGAATCTGTGTCGTGATATCCAATCTCAGCTCAGAAACATGCAAGATCAATGATGGAATGCCAAGGCAGATGAAATCCAGGGCTATGCTGACCCTCGGGAGCCCAAAGACTTCTATGCCGCTTCGACCGATGTATATGGTCCAATACAGCATTACAGTCTCTTTGAAGAGAGCAGATGGCCTAACACTGATGTCTGATAAAGGAGAAATCCTCCAGAGGTGGCGCAAGCATTTCAGTGATCTTTTGAACACACTGTCCAACATCACGGACGATGCACCAATAAGAGCAATGGATCAGCCACCTTTTAATGACAACATGGATGCAGCCCCATCCCTTGACTAAGTCAGCCCTGCTATCAGTACCATGAAGAACTACAGAGCTCCCAAATCTGATGGCATTCCTACAGAAATATTCAAATATGGCGGCGAGATCCTGCTGAGGTGACTACATGGACTATTTCTCAATATATGGAGCAATTAAGATTTACTGTAAGACTTCAAAGACTCTACTTTGTCACCATATACAGAAGAAAGGTGAAAAGTTTGACAATGGCAATTATCACGGTATCTCATTACTCTCCATCACTGGAAAGATTCTGACTAGAACACTCTTTGATTGTCTGCTATGCAAAATCACTAAATGCGTGTTACTAAGGTTGCAATGTGATTTTAGGCCCACAGAAGGAATGGAAGACAAGCTATTTGTAGCCCATGAGATGGAGGAGAAATGCAGAGAACAGCAACCTGACCTTTACACTGTCTTTATTGAACTGGCTAAAGTATCTGACACCGTCAATAGATGTGGGTTTGGCAATTATTACATAAGTTTGGTTGTCCAGAAAAATTCACCAACATTCTGAGGCTATTTCATGATGGAATGCTCGGAAAAGTCTGTGTAGATGGTGTTCTGTCTGACCCATTTCCTATCACTAAAGGTTTTAAGCAGGCTGCATAATTGGTCCACTCTTGTTTAATATCTTCTATACAGCAATGCTTGATTATGCTACAAGAGCCCTGAATACTGGTATCAGGATATGTTTCCAATTCTCTGGAACAGGCTGCGATGTTCCACGAAGGCCTTCGGGCAGTTGTTCATGAGCTGCTGTGTGTCAATGACTGTGCTCTAGACAAGACACAATTGAATATGAATGGATCTGCAAAATCTGCAGAAAGATACAGACTGATATTCTGAAAAAGAGAGGCCATGTAACAACCTGCACCAGGGAAACTCCACATGAAACCAAAAGTCACCATCAGAAACACTGCTAAATGTTGTTATAGACTTTTACTATCATGGTAGTATATTGTAGATTTATGTTAGTATAGACAAGGAACTGACCAATCATATCAACAAAACCAGGTGATCATTTGGCTGACTATCAGGAAGAGTTTGGTGACAACATGGTATTAAACTTCAAACCAAGTCTATAAATCAGTTGTGCTGTCCAACTTATTGTATGGGTGTGAGACCTGGACCCGCTACAGGGATCATATTAAGTTTCTAGATAAGTTCCATTTACAATATCTGCATTCCAGATTCTGCATCAAATGGCAGGATAAAGTTACCAATAATGAAGTTCTAGAATGTAGTTACTCCACAGGGATTGAAGCCAGGCTTATCACAACACAGTTATGCTGGGCTGGTCATGTGCTGAGGATGGACGACACCAGAAAGTCAAAGCAGTTGTTATATGGCAAACGGAGAGTGGGCAATCACATAGGAGGTGGCCAAAAGAAATGCTGCAAAAGACACACTGAAGCATAACTTGAAACAGTGCGACATTGAGACTAACAGCTGTGAGTCATCAGCAACTGACAGACCACACTGGCAAACAGTAGTCAATGACGGGGTTACCCTATACGAGGTAAACTGTCGTATGGATCTTGAGGCACAGAGGCCAAGTTGTAAACAGTGGCAGATTCAGCAGTGCCTCAGCATCAAGCTATGCACTTCATGTGGAAAGGACTGCCACTTGCGCATCGGTCTGTTTAGCCACAACTGTACAGTACTCATAAGCCATAATACTGTCA